AGATTTAAATGAATACATCATATACACGGTGAGATAGAAAAACTGCAACCAACTTCAGGCTGGTGGTTCGAAAAGTAAAGAAGCGACTTGATCGAAAACCGCGTCGCAGTGGCCGAAAAATGGCTCGTGAGCTGACCATATCACAATATTACATTCGACAAATATTGAAAAATGAGCTAAAGGTAAAGCCATTGAAATTCCAAAAAGTGCAAGAACTTACAACGCCACAGAAAGAAAATAGACTCAAAAGAGCTAAAGAGTTGATTTGCTTGGCCGAATTTTGTTTTCTCCGATGCGAAAACATTCTTATCCCGCAGTTTGTAAACAAACAAGATGATCGTGTTTACTTGTGAAAGAGGTCTGCTGAAAATGTGCTCCTTCGGTTGGCCACCAGAACTCAAGCGCCGACCATGTTAATGGGGTGGGCCGCCATAACAGCCGATGGTCGCTCTCGGCTCGTATTAATCGTCTGTGGCATCAGAATAAATGCCGAATATTATAGCGAAAATATTCTGGAGGTTGTATTTAAGCCTTGGACACGCAAACATTTTGGCCACAGACCTTGGACATTCCAACCGCACTCAGCACGCGCCACCCAACAATGGTTAAAAAATGAGCTTCCTCGCTTCATTTCCAGTGCACAATGACCACCAAAATCTCCGGATACCAATCCGTTGGACTATTGTGTCTGGAGTATTTTGGAAAACAAGGTTGGCACTAAAAAATACCAAAGTGTCGATCACCTCAAGCAAGCGCTTCGCCGGAAATGGGCCAAAATATCGCAGAGCAACTTTTGGGCAGCGTGTGACGGTTTCATTGTACATTTGAAGGCCATAATCGTGCCAAAGGTGACCAATTCGAACAAATCTAAACTTATTATAAAATCTGATGCTATTTCCCACATTTTTTGCTTTCATTCAATAAAATTTAAAAAAATGTAAAAATTATGGCGTTTGACTTTGTTGCAGTTTTTTTTATCTCACCCTGCATATGTGTTCCACAAGATCTCATAATAATCGAAAAATAATGTATATTTAAGATGCACCAATATAATACATTAAATATCTAGGACTCCGTAGAAAAAAGAAAAATTACTTTTGATATATTACGATGTGCTTGATATAGTTTTACAATCTTAAACTCACTATAATGCAGTAGCAATCCGCGTTAAATCCTCTACACAAAATGTTGTAAAATCGAGATATTAAGATTTTAATGCCTTTATAGCCATAACACCCCTTCATTTTGAGTCTTCATAAACACTGGGACAATTTGTTGTTTTGGCAATCTTTCGTAAGTCGTTTGATGCAGATTACCACCCTCCCTTAGTGTCAATTATGTTCTTTGTTAATAAATCTTTGATAACTCTTTTTCTATTCCCTACGCCTTTTTGGTACACTGTGAATTACGAAGAAGTTGAAATGGACGCTAAAAATATAGCAAACACGATTTGGTAGAAAACATCTGTGGCTTATGACCTAACTGGGTGCATAAAATCGCAGTAAATCAAAAATTTGCACATTAAATGTTGGCAGGAAGATTGTTGAAGTTTTATTCTACGAACGCTAGGCTACGCACAAAAATCTCTGCGTAGAGCAGTATGAATACCTTTGGATAGATATAAAATATTGGGCTTTGAAATATTGCGAAGACATTCTTTATAACCTGTAATGTCTAGTTTTGAAAACAAGACATAAAGTAAACTTTTTGGAACACGCCTCATATATTTCGTGACAAATTATTAAAAATTTTAATAAGCAGTTAATTTTGCTAGGAAAGTAAAAAATATATTCAGTTTATTATAACTTTATTAACAAATATGACACTCAAAAGGGGATTACAGGGTTGCCCATATTCGACGGACCCATCTGGCAACGCCATAACTTTTGACAGAGATGTCACATCGCTTAATGACATACCGCGTTTGAAGCGTCAGTCCAAGCAGATTTTTACCATGAACCAATACATGCCACGCGAGCGCTCTGAAATAGTTGAAATTTACATTCAATTGTGAAAACTCAACGTGCTTTTAAAACATTAAAAAATGTGAGAAGTGCGCCTTCTAAGAACACCATTAAACGTTTATACGAAAAATTTTCGACTGGTAAGGCTCTTCCTAATCCGAAGAGGCCATATAAAAGTCGACCAAGGCGATCGGCCGAGAATATCGCTGCCATACGAGCCAGTGTTGAGAGGTCCCCAAGAACATCCCAAAAACGCCGTTCTCAGCAGTTGGGCATGGCTCGGTCCACTTTACAATGGATTATTCGCATTGATTTGCATTTGTTCACGTACAAAATTCAATTGACGCAAAGAATGTTGCCTGCGGACAACCTCGTCGATTGGAATGGGCCCAAAGGTCCGTCGAATATGGGCAACCCCGTACATTCTGGAGGCGGGAAAATTGATTTTGGGTATTAAGGACCTTGATTAGAATATTAAGAAAGATAGATTCACCGTAATTAAACTTCCAAGATATAACGTGATGATTTTTTGGTGATGACTGGAAATGTTGCAACCCCTAAAATTTTCGATTTACACTATATCAATTCCCCTTATTTTTCATTTGAATAGAATTTTAGAATTTTATTTCTTCTTTCTTTATTTCTTTCTTCGATAACAGTGACCTAATTTCTAAAGAGACGAATATTTTATAAATTTGTTACGTATAAAATATGTTTTTTTTTTTTATTGTATTTTATTATTGTTTTATATCTATTTAGCAAAAAGACAGATCTAGATAAGCAATTCTAAATGATACTAGGTGTGAACATACCATAACAACATTAATTGCCTTAGAAATTACTCTTGCTTTCTCTCTCCCTCTCTTTTTTTATCATAAATCAGCCTCTCTCTTTTCTCAACAAAATAAATTGTATTGAGTCAAAACTTTTTGACGCACTTGTTTATTATTATTAGTCACATCCAGAACCATGGATTCCGGAGCGAATTGTATTACGCTTATCGTTGGTGACATGTGTGCCTTTGGTGGCGTTATCAAGAGGTCTGATAAAATTATCAGCATCTGGGTCCCGTCGTTTACCTTACCCAGTGACCTAATTTGTATTTTACCATCATTTTATTTATTTTGGTATTTTTTCTGGATAAATACCAATGAAGACGGAAAAACAACAGCCTGATGTACGTCACTGTGATGTACATCTTGGATGGATAACACCATATCTGAAATCTACCTACTTATCAAATTATTAACAATGATCTTTGGCTCACATGTTTGACACAGATTGAGTTGTTGGTTTTTCTTTATTAGTCTATTCGCCCAAAATTGTAAAAGATGAGTGAGATGATTAACGCCCAAAAAGAGCTGCTAGGGCTGGAATTTCGAAATACGGATTTTTGGGAATTACGGACTAAAAGTGGTAAAATTTGTGTGTTATTGAACTAGATGTGGAATTGTTTTGTGGAAATATTCGTAACAAGGCTAATATGAAGTACTAAATAAAAATTCAAATTCAAAAATCGTCAAGTCTTGAAATACGTCATATAGGTCACTGTTGATGTGAGTCATTAGATGGAGTTTTTTTCGGAATCTTGATACAGATTCCGAGTACTTTTAAATTTAAACAGATCGTACTTTTTGCAAAAAATACCAAAAGTACCAAAGCAGTGTCAGTCGTTAAAAAGTTTTGCCGACAGATGTTTACCCTTAGCCTGTCAGTTTACTAAAATATGTTCTAAAATTGTTCAAAATTAAGACCTTTTATGGGAGAAGATACCGAAGCAGTAGACCAAAATTATCCACTTCCATTCTGAACTAACTCTGATAATTATATATTACATCTTGCCCGATTTGGACCATATTGACCAATTAATATGTGAAAATAAGTTATTCGTGGTGAAATTCAAGGGTGATAGTGTGATTCTTTATATTTGGCTGGAAAAACACAAGTGGCTATCGTTAGAGCACTCCAGCATTTAAATTTGAATAAATATTTTGTGTACCGTACCATCACTCGTTATAGTGATACTGGTAGCGTAGCTGGACGGTTGGCCACCAGAAGTCAAGCTCCGGCCATGGTGACAGTGTGGGCCGCCATAACAGCCGATGGTCGCTCTCCGCTCGTATTAATCTACCATGGCATTAGAATAAATGCCGAATATTATTTCGAAAATATTCTGCAGGGTGTATTAAAGCCTTGGGCATGCAAATATTTTGGCCGAAGAACTTGGACATTCCCTCATCGCACTCAGCACGCGACACCTAAGAATGGTTACAAAATTAGGTTCCTCGCTTCATTTCCAGCGCACAATGTCCACCAAAATCTCCGGACACCAATACGTTGGACTATTGGTGTAGTCCCCATATAACGGTACCTCCCGATATTAGTTATTTTGGTGATGTTTGCCACATTTTTTTCACGAATTTTTCTGAAAATTGGTATTTGTAGGTCATAATGGGTTCTAGTTCCCCATATAATGATGGTTTTTGTCACATTTTTTTAACGGATTTGTCTAAAAATTGGTATTTGTTGGTCATAATGGGTTCCAGCTCCGGTGGCGAAACATTGTATGTTTAGGTCCACATTTTTGGTATAACACCCATACCCGATATTCGGTATTTTGACGATTTTCGCTACATTTCTTTGCGAATTTGTCTAAAAATTGGTATTTATGGATCCTAATGGGTTATAGCTCCTAGAAACATTGTATGTATAGGTCCACGTTTTTGTATAGCCCTATATAGCGATATTTCCCGATATTCGGTATTTTGATGGTTTTTGGCACATTTTCCCATGAATATGTCTAAAAGTTGGTATTTGTGGGTCATAATGGGTTCTAATGTTTCCTTTACCCTAAGGTGGATGGTATTAAAAGTTCGGCCCGGTCGAACTTAATGTTTTTTACTTGTTTCAAAGTTAAATTAACTATTTAAAACTGGACTGGATATTTTCTTAAATTGATTTTTTTAAATTGGTAACGATATATTGCATTTAAATTAAAATTAATTTGATATTGATTACAAAGTTCATATCACTTACCTTGTTTCATCTTTGGGACATGGTATGAATTTGATGCATTCACGCTTCTGAAAGTTTGTCTCAATCCAACTTCGAGGTTGATGCTGTTGTTGCCACAAGAGTATGGGACATGATATAAGGGGGAGCAGGATTTTATGGAAAAAATACAAAAAAGAAAATATGACATAAAAATTATATGAGAATTATTACAATTGGCGAAATCTAGGTTAAAAGCCTAAATCAATTAAAAGATAAATATTTCTTTTTATTTTCATTATTATTATTATTATTAATATTTTGTTTACATCATTTTGGCACAAGCACACGCTTCAAGAAACACATCAAACAATGGTCCATAAATAAAAAACAAAATGAAACAAAAATACAAAATATAAACTGAGTTATTGCCTTTTTAATTAAATGTTGACAGGAAATCAATAAAACAAAAAATTAAATCAACTGAAAAGAAGCTCAAATATTTAGTTACAGAAAAAATATTAAATTATGGTTCAGTTTTTTTTTTTTTTTCATAAATACATAACACAACACTATTTACACAACAACAATTCAATTTCGTTATTTACGCATAAAATGTATTTTTTTTGTTTTTTTTTTTTTTTTTTTTTTTTGTGGTGAATACTTTCATATACTTTAGCTGGGCATAAATAGCTTGGTGAAATATTTGCACTTAACGCTACGTTTTCATTGCCAATGGCGGATTTGCATGAACGGAAAATGTGTTAATTTGGAAAATGACCACTAAAATGTCAATGCCACAATGGGTTGATAATGTACGGAAAAGTGTCCAGTGTTGGGTAAGAACACTGGAAAAAATCAATACATACATATCTACAAATTGTCATTAACTGCACTAGGTACTCGTATTGCAATTTTAATAATTTGTTGGTGTTAAATCGGTGCGTGTCTACAAAATTATTATTAACTACTTACACGATTCCTTTCCTCATTTTTTATATTTTCATAAAAAGAATTATTTTGTTATAAAATGAAATTAATTTATCAATGATAAAATTTGCTCCAAATTAAAGTTTAATGAAGTTATGACAATGGTGTTCTCTTTAAGAGATATATAATAATTGTTAATATATATATATATTATTTAAAAATATTGTAGAACGTGTTATTGGTTTTATTAAATTTCCTCATTCACTTTGAAATATTATGTTTTACAGTAGATTAGCATTTTGGTTATCAATAAACATTAGCTGTAGCTGTTTTAAAACCCATTTTCAGTATTTCTACATATTGTCCGAGTTTGCTATAATTTTACATGGGCAAGGGTAAATGCACATTGAGAATAAGGTAATACTTCAGTAGGGGAAAGTGTTAGGAGGTGTGTGTCCTTTTTTTATAACAAGAGCCATGCAAACTTATAATATTCATTTGGAATTTTTGTCAAACACTTGCCTTAAACGCTGGTACAATTCAAAGTCTCAATTTTTTAAACTGAATAAAAACCTGACAATTTTTCATAGCAACTCCAGGAAACCTGCACACGTAGGTTCTCCCTACATGTAAATAGCCCTTTATCCCCAGTAATAAATGTCCAAAGCTAGCACACATAAAAAGATGAATGGAAAATTATAAAGCCGGACAACAAGCCTATGTCCAGTTGAAAGAAGAAGAAGAAGAGATAATTGAAGTCAGCGACGCACAGTAGAGTAAAATTCATAACTCAAATCCATCGATATTTTGTACGTCAAACTAATTTATGTGTTACATAAAATGTCGAGTTCTCTGGGAAGGAATATATATATGTAGCAAAGGATTATATCTTTTCTACAAATACAAAAAGTGAAAATGGGTCTTGATTTGGGAAAAGGCAATTTTTGGTATTCATCAACAAACTTTTTACTTTGCATTTACATTCCCAATGGATTAAAAAATGCACCTTCCGATTAATTGTTCATATCTGAAATAAATCAATCCTTTTTTACTAAATTAGTATAGAAATGTACTTCGAACTGCTGTTTCAAAAATCTCCATCATCATTATCTTCAATTGCCAGGAGTAAAAGTGAGAAAAAAAACTCCAACACTTATGAAGGAAGTGATGATTTTTAGCGATCTGAAAATTTTGCAGTAAAAAGGAAAGCCAGAGAGACATATTTGGCAGTGCTGTCTTACAGGAGCCGTTCTTTGGAAAGTTGAATTTATTGCTAAGTTATTGCGATCAAGCATATGCCAATTAAACACCAGAAACCATCCAAGTTCGACTCAAGTTCTATTAGCAGATCTACTTTTACATAGTTTCGATTTTCCACTTATAATAGAATTAGATATCTGGAGAGACACGTTTAATGAAAACAACAAAAGTAAATACAATATATTATTAAAAACGGATAAAAGTATATTCACCGCAAGACCAGTTGACATATGGCTAAAGAGGGTATAGATGCCGATTGACCCTAGGTCTCTTTAGACCAAATTCGCTTCTGAACATATGGAGTCGATCTAGGGGATGTCCATCCGTCCGTCTAGCTGACAGGTGTGGACGATATATCTTCGATAATATCGGTTCACTCCTTCCAGTACCTGCCCCACAAAAGGTCAAAATTCTCACAGAAAATATTATCCGATTTCAACATATCAACCACCACAAGATCTAATATGAAGAACGAACTACTCCTTCTGACACTTCTCCCACAACGGGTAAAATTTATATCCCTTATAAAATGCGCTAAGCAGCCGATTCTTTTATAATTTCACACATCAACTTATTTTTATTAACCAAATATCTGGGGATACGATGTTAAGTATTTGGTCCACTCCTTCTGGAATCCCCCGCAAACGTTTACAATTTTCAATAAATATATATCTCATAAATTGCGAAACAAGTCAACTATTCTTTTCAAAACATCAGATCTCTCAACCAGAGATCTAATGTGAATATGAAATTTATGGGCCCACTTCTTCTGGTACCAACTACACAAAAGGTTAAAAAAATTGGAAATAAGTGTTCGATTCCACATATCTCATATAAACTGAAGAAACTTTTTTATACAGTCTAAACCTGGCACGTATCTGACATTAATATCAGACTTATGTGAGATATGAAATGGGTAATATTGGCCTCTCTTTCGGAACCTCGCTTATAAGGGTCAAAAGTTTGAATAATCATGACGAAAGTCAAAATATATTTAAATAAACCACCATTGGTTTGTGAAAGAAGAGCGGAACTTTAAAAAATTTACCCTTTTGGAATATTTGGAAATTCTAACAATACGGGGATTTTTTTGGTCGAAAATGTTAACCCTAAGTGATTCACAAAAGGGGTCTTTTTGGTCCTTTTTTAAATATGGTAAAGAAAAACTCCCTTTAAACTGGATTGTAGGTAGTCAAAATATTCTACAAATTATTTGTCATAAAATAAACTAATGGTCCAAAAATATATCAAAAAATAAATATTAAAGTACATTTTGGGGGTTTAGACGAATTTATGTGAGTCCTACAAATCATTATTTCTGAAGGATAACGTCAAAAATAAGAATATTCTTCATCGAATTTCACTATAAGTCAACAATGAAAAAAACTAAATTTCTATTTCCCTTTTTCCTTTACATTAAGAGAATATTTGCAACAAAAACAAGGGTTTAAAAAATAAGGCCAAAGGCCTTGCAATAACTAAAATACAACTTTTCAACCAAGTCGCTTGAAAAAATATGACCAGCACCCAAGCTATACGTAAAACTAGAGGTTACTTAAAACAAGGGCTGTAGCAAAACGTAGAACTATACTGACAAATTTTGATAGTAGCGTTTTTATATAATTAGAAATAAAAATAACAAAATTAAATTGAAAATCCACTTTTTCATTATTTTTATTATAATTTTTTATTCTTTTTTGAGATCAGAAAGTGACTCGACTGAGAGTTTAAATATTTGATAAAAAAAACTCCTCGTGTTACAATCAGTAATATTGCCTATATACCAACCTACCTATCCACCAATATATGGGATGTGTGATAATTTTTGGAAAATGCCAGAATAGTGGATTAAATTATTCCACTTCATCTAATAATGATGTTAATATCAAAAATTAAAAATGTATTTCAAATTTTATGCGAATAATTGTTAATCTAAATTTTAATCTCTTGTGAGGGAGGTACGAGAAGGAGAGAGCCGATATCTATCATCCCCCAATAGATCTTGTGTTAGTAGAAATATTGATTTGAGGCGAGCTTGAAGAGAATCGGACTTTTATTTCATTAGAGTATTTTATTAGAGTTATAATTATTTGACCCGTTGTGGATGAGGTATCAGAAGGAGTGATCCGATATATTCCCTCATCCCACCAATGTTTGTGTTGGTAGAAATAGTAGGATGCCCGAAATTTGAAGACAATTTCACTGTTATTTTACATGTTATAAAAGTTATAATTATACAAATGAGGGAGGTACTTGATGGAGTTGACCGATATTGTCCATTTTCGGATTTAAAATTTGAACAGAATTGAATGATTCCTTCTGTTCTATGATTATTATTTTCTATTAAATTTTTCTAAGAAAATAGTGATCTTTGTGGGGGAGGTACCAGGAGGAGTGGACCGATATTGCAAATTTCCAAACTCGAATTGGGTTTGACAATAAGTTCAAATCGGATAAACTTTTCAAGAGCGATCGTGCGAACCCGCCAGCCTGACGGATCGACTCCAAATGTTTAGAAACGTGTTTGGTCCAAAGAGACCTGGGGTCTAGAACAGTTATATCGATGAGGAACATTTTTTCGTATCAAATGTACCCTCTGTATGAGTGAAGGTATAAGTATTTAGATGCTTGAAATTTAAAGTGAATCGGTTGCTTTAATGAGAGTTAAATTTACCCTAAATTTTGATCCTTTATGGGGGAGGTACTTAATGGACCGATATTGTCCATATGGCTGAAGGTATAAGCCCCTGGGGCTTAATCGTATTATGGAGATTTCGTTTTTCATTAAGGTCAAATCAATATAAACAAATATACCATGGCCCCAAATTGATACAATTATATATGAAGCATTCTGCTAGAGAAATGTATGAATCAAAAAATTTAACTCACGCGTGGAAAGCTTCAAAAGAAGCTGAATTTTCCAATATAATTTATTGGA